TTGAAGTTGAAAACTAGTGAAAATTCTGGTTTTTTCATACCATGTTTGAACCGGGAAATATCTTAACTGGTTTAAGATATTGCAAAACGGTTTTCAGTTCCTATTAGTAGTATATAAGAGCTTTATTTTGACATATAACAAAGTTTAGGTTCTGAATGTTTTCGTGCCATTATGGTAGAACATATGTGAAAATTTCAGGAAAATTATCTTCAAACAAGCCGCAACTATCATAAATGAAGAGTTTCCAGGCAAGTAAAAACGCAGTTTTGTAGCCCCATATATCTAGTTTTCAAAACTGTATAAACTTTGAAAAAGTAAGCTAACGTAATTGAGTTATGTTGATTTTAGTAGGTCGTTGAGTATTTGGCCAAAAACTAATAATTCTTTTGAAAATACGAAAACATAGTTTTAAAAATAGTTTTTTGGTGTTTTCTTATGTATGTGGGTATGTGCTCTCCATCGATTTGGCCATTTGTCACCCTACTTAAACCACTATAACTTTTTTTTGAAAAAATATTTTTTAATTCTGTTTTCGGATTATTGTAGCCTAATGTAATACCTATCCAACGATATATAATACTTGCTAGTTAACTTAGTCCTGGTTATTTATAGGGCTGTTGATTGTGACATACGCAGTTTTTGAAAAATTCCCAAAAATTGCATTTTCAAAAATACCACTTTTAAGCAATCTCGAGTATTTTTTTAGAACTTTTTTATGTTTATTTATGACATTTATGAGATTATAAAGCCAAAAAATTAAATTTAGAAACTTTTTACTTCCCTAGTTAACAACTTTGTAAAGTACCCTTGGTAGTCACTATCAGGTGTGAAAATCTCAGTTTTGAAACTATTTTATATATATACTCGTGAAATTCTCTCTACACATCATATCAGTTTTGAACTTCATTGAACAAGTCACTTTCAAAAATGAACCAAAATTCAACACTTACGAAGAAAACACTCTGTGAAATTCTTCGCGACAAAACGTTAAATCTTGCAACACAGCACACGTACTGTTTGGCAGTAATAGAAGAAATTCATGGGAGAGAATTAGCGGAATCACAGAAACCAAGTTTAATTAATAAATTAAACAAGCTGAAGTCAAAGTCAAAAATGTTTTGTAATCAGTCAAATTGGATACTTCAGCGAATCTAGTGGAGGGATTCTTTTTGAGGAAGAATCTATATATGAAGCAGAAAATGTTACTGACACAGATGAAGATATGGATGAGATTGAATACATCGTCCATGACATAGAGCCTTCATCCAGCAAGGGCATCAAGAGGAAATCATTTGAACAACTAACAAGCGATAAGCATCGACGTAGAAGAGTGGACGAATTAGATATCAGTTTAAAAGAAGCAAAAGGATCATTGTTATCAGTTCTTCACTTGGCACTTCGCCTTTCTAAAGAAGAAGGAAAAGTAGAAGGAGCTAAAATGTTAAAAGAATTTATTAAGGCGTGCCAAAAAGGAGAGGATCTTCCAGAAAAAACTACATCAAAACCTAAACAACTAGATATACATGTAGCTCTAGGTGTAAAAGCCTTTAACAATTTATCTCGAAATCAGTACAACAATATTCGACAAGTCCTGAAACTGGAATGCGAAAACGTTTTACCGACAGCTAAAAAATTGTTGAGGTTAGAGAAACAATGCTATCCTGATGACATAACGGTCACCGATACAAGAGCCGTTATTCCACTAAAAAATTTGACACAACTCACCACAAAAAGAGTTATTGAAGCACACAATTCAGAAATATACGACAAAATCAAAATATTACCTTCAGAATCAACTCCAAAAGTTATTCATGCAGAAATGATCGTCACATGGGGGATGGACGGAACAACAGGACAGTCACAGTATAACCAAGGAAAAACAAATTCAAGAAATCAAGAACGAGATAGAACACAACCGAATCAAACGACTAATAATGAAATTATAGAAGACAAATCACTATTGACAGTTAGTATGAGTGTTCAGCAACTACGACATGAAGACGAAAACGGAAATTATATCTGCTTATGGGACAACGAAAACAGTCAATCTGTATACTCAGTACGACCAATACAACTTGAACATGCCAAAGAAACCAGAGTAAATGTTAGAAGGATATATGAAGATATAAAAAATCAAATATCAAAACTTGAACCACAGAGATTCATATGTGAAGACATGCTTTTGGAAATTACGTACAAATTCTACCCCACAATGTTAGATGGAAAAGTTTACACAGACCTTACAGAAACATCAGGATATTGCAGATGTCAGCTTTGTAGATCTGGACCAAACGAGATGAGTGACATAAATAATCTTGATAATGGAAGATTCGAAAAAACACACAGAAAATTTGTTAAAGAACACTTGTATTTCAACACTCAGCCACTTCATACATCAATGAACGTACTCACGACTATATGATTTGTCATATAAACAATATGTTCAAAAACACTGGCTGGAGATAACTGAAGAGGAACAGATTGTTTTAGATGTTGAAAAGGCTAGAATAAAGCAAGCAATGTGGGATGCATTTAATGTTCGTGTACTCGAACCAAGACAAGGGGGAGCTGGATCATCAGATACAGGAAACGTTGCAAGAAAAGTTCTTGAAAATCCAGAGCTTCTAGCTAAAACTCTATATCTTAATGAAGAAATAATTAAACGTATATGCTATGTGCTAAACCAAATTCGAAGTTTAGAACCAGTTGATGATCTAGATGAATTTGATAGGTACTGTAAAGAAACATACAGAATGTTTTTGACAACATATAGTTGGTTCAAAATACCAGTAACACTTCACAGAGCACTTGCTCATGCAAAACACTACATGGAAGCCTTACCATTACCTCTAGGAAGAATGAGTGAAGAAGCCGGGGAGTCACAAAACAAATATCTCAGACAAGATAGAGAACTACGTGCCAGAAAAACTTCAAGAATACACAGTTTTACGGATGTTATACATAGAAGACTCTACAGTTCTGATCCAGTAATAATAAAAAAATATATGGATGTAATAAATAAAAGGTTAATGAGAAAAAATGTCCAAGAAGAAGGTGAAACACCTGAGCAACAAACAGAAAATGAGGAAAAAGATGAGGAAGAAATTGAATTGATTGAGCCAGAAGGAGAAGGTTATGACTTTTCCCAAGCAGAAAACTATGATTATTCCGAAGGACAAGACCATGAATATTCTGAAGAAGCAAACAACGAATGAATAAATAAATTTCATTAAATATGATAAAAAAATGTAAATTAAATTTCTTGACAAATAAACAAAATTTCATTAAACTAAAAATTAAACTTTATTAATTTTACCTATTATAGTTGCGTATCAGAGTATTTTTTTTATTACTCTAATGATAATAGCTTTTTTCAGACTTAACATTTCTTAAAAAAGTCCAAAAAATACTCGAGATTGCTTAAAAGTGGTATTTTTGAAAATGCAATTTTTGGGAATTTTTCAAAAACTGCGTATGTCACAATCAACAGCCCTATAAATAACCAGGACTAAGTTAACTAGCAAGTATTATATATCGTTGGATAGGTATTACATTAGGCTACAATAATCCGAAAACAGAATTAAAAAATATTTTTTCAAAAAAAAGTTATAGTGGTTTAAGTAGGGTGACAAATGGCCAAATCGATGGAGAGCACATACCCCCTATATCTCGAAAGATTTTGAAGTTTTTGAAAAATTTTCTTCACAAAATCATTTAAATTGTTATTTTTCATAAGAAAACACAAAAAAACTATTTTTAAAACTATGTTTTCGTATTTTTAAAAGAATTATTAGTTTTTGGCCAAATACTCAACGACCTACTAAAATCAACATAACTCAATTACGTTAGCTTACTTTTTCAAAGTTTATACAGTTTTGAAAACTAGATATATGGGACTACAAAACTGCGTTTTTACTTGCCTGGAAACTCTTCATTTATGATAGTTGCGGCTTGTTTGAAGATAATTTTCCTGAAATTTTCACATATGTTCTACCATAATGGCACGAAAACATTCAGAACCTAAACTTTGTTATATGTCAAAATAAAGCTCTTATATACTACTAATAGGAACTGAAAACCGTTTTGCAATATCTTAAACCAGTTAAGATATTTCCCGGTTCAAACATGGTATGAAAAAACCAGAATTTTCACTAGTTTTCAACTTCAAACAGCTCTAGAATCGCGAAATCAGCACCAAATGACCTGAAATTTGGCATTTCTATCTACTTTTATGTCCTCTACAAGAAAAAATCACCCAAAAAGTGTAAATCGGAAAAGTCCATTTTTCAAAGTGAAAGTCCCTTTTTTTTTCATTTTGCCCCATAGTGATACGAGGAATTAAAATATGTAATTTTCTGGACATAAAGGATCTAGAGCCAGTTTCTACAACTACTCTATGCCCTACATTAGTATTGAAAATTGAGAAATTACAATTGAAGGTATAAATTACATTTGAGCGTAAGGAAGGTGCTATGTGGAGCCTTAGAACCAGCCAGGAGTCAAATGATTGAAGAGCTTACGAGAGACTTCGTTTTAAAGGGTTTAAGAATCCAACCCGAACAGCACAAGTCGGTTAATTGAAAAGAAATTCGGTACCAAGCTGACATGACTCTAGAATGTCTCTAGTAATAGTTACACCGGCTACAGTGAAATGGCATCAGTGACCTAAGTGGTAGAACTTTGGCCTTACGTGCCAAAGGTTCTGGGATTAATCTCAGGCAAAGTCAAGTTTTACAAACTCTTTTTTCATTTCAACGTTCTAATTATGATGATTCTGGATGATTTCATTACAGCATCATGAGCACACGAATTGTGACTAGGTACATTGCAAGGTACATCAGGTCTATAGACGTACTCGTGTCTTTTCAATGTGCAGAGCTTGCAAGTGGTTCGAATTTCATTATAAACTGTAGGTCTAAAGAGTGTGGTACATGAAATTCTGTTCTATTTTGAATCGCAGTTCCTCTATCTCAAAAAACTCATCCCTTTCCATGCTTTACCTTTTTTTACACCGTCTAGATGCCAAAATTCTGATCGATTAATTGACTAAAGCCATTCGGGGATGCAAGCTAAGGGCTTAAAAAAGAGATTTAATCCTCATCGAATAAGTTACGATTTGTAGCAATTCTCAATATAATTTCAAATCCAAAGCGCCTCTAAAATTCATCTCAAAACTAACTTCCCTGCTTCCCACAATGTCCCTTAATCTTTTTAGCAGTTTAAAAAACTTTTTGCCTCTGCTTTATTTTTCTATAGAAAAAAATAAGTTCTTTACAACATAAATTCAATCTACATAATATGATAATGAATGAGAATCGATAAAGATAAAGGAAATCTTCATAATCGTTATTTTAATTAATCTAAGGTAGATATGAAGATATTGGAATACATTAAAATATAGAAAAAATTTCGCTACATTAACCTTTAATATTTCTTTTAAAAAGAATTCCAGACTTCTTCTTATTTAATTTTACATCACATGTTCCATTGCTGTTTGGATGGTTGTTGTTGAGCGTCTAAGATTATCAGATGGGAAGTAAATTCGATGGTTCATGATGTATTCTCTAGCTGATTTAGCAACAACAACAAATACAATTATGGATATAAGGAAGCACATAAAAATTAAAATTGTTTTTATAAATCCAACTTCTGATTGCACAAGTATGTCGCGTTCCTCATTGTTGTTCGATGTCAATGCCTCTTGAAATGCTGACAACCCCTTGTTGAACTGTAATGTGTCGTCAATACGCATAACTGCTGATTCTATTTCTAAAATTCTGTTCCAGATTCTAGTCAAGTTTGATGTTAAATCACCAGAAAACGAGGGATCCTTTGGTGACTTTTTGCCTGGCAATACAGCAAGGTCCTGATCATCAAGATGCTCAATTGCAGTATCCCAATGAATATGCTGCGTATTATTAGGAACACATCGAATCCCATCGACATTATTTAAGTCATAGACACGCATTTTTGAGAATATAAATACAATTATATTATTCAGCTTCAAGCTCTTAATCATCGACGACAAATACGTGCAGTTCCAATCATTATCATTTATACTAATTAGCGACAATTTTGGGAAATAATGACTCTTCAACTGCTCATACGGAATATCCGTCAAATTATTTCCATCAATTTTCAAATGTGTCAAATGATTTAGTGCCGTGAAAATTTGAAAATCAATTTTGCGTAGCTGATTATATGATAAATCAAGTTGTGATAAATTGAAATTATGTGCAAACGTACCGAATGTCAATGAGGCTGATGTGATGTTTGTATATTCCAAATTTAATTTAACCAAATCTGACATACGTGAGAAGCTTGATATATTTAAAGTATTGATCGGATTATAAGACAAATCGAGCACCTCGACTTTCGTTTGTGCTGTAAAATTCGAGATGTCACTGACGGAGTTTTGTCTCAACTTGATCTCGACTATTTCAGTATTTCCATTAAAATTTATTGTCGCAATGTCATTGTACGGCGCATAAAGAAGCTTCAAATTCTTATTTATATCCAAATGTGTCAATTTATTGTACGGAATGAAGAGTCGCTCGATTTTTGTCTCGCCAAGTCTGACATTCAGCAATCGATTATTGCCAAGATTCAAAAACTTCAAATTCTTTAAAGCACCAAAAGCATCACCATTAATAATCGCTATCTCATTCGAGTCAAGTCGGATTTCCGTTAAATTCAATGCACTTGCAAATAATTTCTCGTCAATTACTTGCAACTTATTTGAATCGAGACGAATGTACATGAGACTTGATAAGTCGCGGAAGAGATTTTCATCGAGTTTGACGATTCTGTTATCGCTTAAAGTCAATGTCTGTAATTTTGTGATTCCTGCAAATGCTTCGTTTTGGATTTCCTCAATCTGATTAGCACTTAAGTCAATGGTTATTATGGATGTCATTTGGGAAAAGACGGAATGTGGAAGCTTCTTAATTTTATTTGATCTCATCCTTAATTCCAATAATTCTGATGCGTACTGAAAGTTGTACTTTGTTATGTCCTCAATTCCACAATTATTTGCTTGTGCCTTCCTCAAGTACGGAAATGTTGGAAAAATATCTTTTGGAATGTCGTAAAATTTGCAGGTTGAAAATTCCACTTCCTGTATAAGCTTATTGTACTCATAATTATTTGCAGTTCTAATCACAAATGTCGAACTGCTGTCACCAACTGCATCTGATATTGTACACTTTATGCCATAATATCTCTCATAGTAACTCAATGCCTTTATCTCATCACACTTTAGTTCCGTTAAATCACACCAAAATGACTTTAAAGTTCCAATAATAATCACAATAATCAGTTCCACTCTCATGTCGCCAACTTTTTTCGTGTGTTGCTTTAAACTAATTGAAATGCATCGACTAACTGAGAATGTAAATTGTAATATGAGAACAATTATTGTTGAAATTCTGAGCAGTTCTGAGCAGTGCTGTGGGTCAATTAGGATTGATGTCAATTTAAAATTGGAATTTTTTTGAGTCATAGGAAAAATCCTGGGGCTGGATTGATTTTGGTGTTGAACGGAGGATTCAACATTCATATTTGATTTGAAACCGTAGGTTGGAGTATTTTAGGATTCTAGGGTAACATACCGTCTTTTGAGGGTCCAGTAGAGATTGAAATTCAGTCCAGAAGAACCACGTGTAGTATTAGAAATCGATCTCAATGATCATCTTGGGTACTTTACTAAACCTTAATTTTAGGGAACCTAAGGCAGAGTTGACTTCAGATTCTCCTAAAAACCAATCTTGATCCTCCTTTCTTCAAAAATACCAGACATCATTTTCAAACGACCCCAAAACACAAACAAGAACTCTTTTTTGTCGTCACTTATACATTTTTCTTATCATTTTACGAGCTACGATTCTGCTATTTTACAAAATAATATGTAATAATAATAAACAAACATTACCAATATATTAAAATTTTACTATAGCTGACATATGCGAAATACAAATGGGGAGCAAGAGAATTTTTTTTTTCAATTTTATGAGCTACTCTTTTTATGAGCTTGTTGTGGCTTCTTGTTCTTATGAAAGCATAAAATTTTTCGCAATAAATTTAATCTTTGTGGAATTGCATTAATTTTGTATGTATTGACATTTTGGCGACCCCGTCTTCGGTACTGAAGCAATGTTTTGAGAATTTGTTTTTGCAGTGGCATGTTTGTAATTAATTTTGGTCCGAGTAGTGCATGTTGGAGCTTGTTGAGATTTGCATTATTTCATTAGGCATTGAATAAATTTGATATTGGATATAAATAATAATTTATTATCTTTAAAACTTATTTAAAAATAACGGGAAAAAATTTCAGAAAAAAAACGGTTGAGAACATTTTAAATTTCTGAACGCACTCATCACATGTTTTAGTATACGAAATAAAAAATCAAGAATTATTGCATAAAACCATTGTTTTAAGAACTTTAACTTTTTGGAAAGCCAATTCCTCAATGGAACTGATTTATTAAAATAAACCCGAGCTCTATACGAGTTCTAATTAAGAACATGTCAGTTCCAGCCAGCCGAACAAATAAACAAAGTGCATTATTAAGCTACCTTTTAGACAAAAAGTTTATTAAAATGTTTTACAGCTTTAATCTTGATAGAAATCTTCACATTTCCAAACCTTATTGACTTCTATAGCCTCATGCATCCCTCGGCACAGCTAACCATTTATTCATTAATTCTAAAATTACTACATCTTCATGAAATCACGTTTTCCAAAGTAATTAGTAATTACAGCTATTAGCCACAATTTACACATAAGTAAATGAGCGTGATCTTTGGTGCTTTAGAACTGCAAGTTCTCCTGTACATGTATGTTCCTCTAAAAATACTCATAGCTATTTATCATCATCGCATGCAATAGAAAATTGTGAAATTTTTCACATAAAAAATTCAGTTCCCAGTAGCAAGCGAGATCGTGCCTTTAGAAAATTACAAAAAAAAAGCATAGAACATTGACATTGTTTTTGTAATCTGTACATAGATTTTATTTTTTTCTGTGTGACGAGAATTCCCTACTGCGTTCAATATCAAGTTTGTATATATATTTTTCCGTTCTTTATCATCATCGACAGTGCATTGTGCATATAAAAAAGTCTTTGTGCTTGTGTTTATGTTTTTTTTTTTTGCAACTTGACTCAAACTGAGAATATATGAGAAAGATAAAGCAAGACGATGTCAGTGCGTATAAAACACAAAAAAACACGATTATGTGCACATAATTTATGAGCTTCTGATCAATATCGAAATGAGGAGAAAATAAGAAGAGGGGCTTGATGATCGGCACAATATAAGAAGCTATGGGAAGAAAATTGTCAACTACAGCAACCGTCCAATTATTTTCATTATTATATTTATGCACTTACCAAGTAACAGCGAAGAAGCACACAAAAAAAAAAGATTACACGCATTGTAAGTTTACAGAATGTGTCTTAATCTTGATTGTAAATAAGGAAAGAAGGCTTGACATTGCTGAGACATCGAACAAATTATTTTTATGTCGCTAATGATGTGTAACGAGTGAGTTGTAGAACATCCATTGTCGATTTAATTAGAAATTGTTGTGAAGATAGGTGAATCGATAGTGTGGAAATTGGATGCATTGACATGGACATGGATGTGACTAGTAGCGAAGATATTGAAGTCTATTATTGTGGTTTTTCAGATGCAATTGTTCTAATTCTCATGAATTAAGCTTTTATCAGGTAGAATGGGCTTTAAAGAATATTTTAAAATAAAGATGAGCATAACTTCAAGTTTTATCAGTTTGGTATCTTCGAGTAGGTTTGAGGACCTCAATATTTTGCTATTTTCAAAGATATGAGTCAAATAATGATTCGTAAGCTTACAGTTTGCTCAAACTAGCATCAGACATCTAGACTTTTCTAAATTCTATCAACCTGCTTAATCATCTACCCAAGATGACGTCAAACACTCAAAATCAAGCTTAGTAAATTCGCCAACGCCAAAATCTCTAGCTTAACTCAATGAAAACACTTTCAATCAACCTTAATTGAATCAATCTACTAAAACATGTTACTTTATGCCACTCCATTTACTTTTTAATACCAGATTACCATCATATTTATAAGAAATATCCAAAAGTCTCCGAAAACGCATCTTAAATTATTCTTAAATGGCTTTTTTCTTTGATTTAAGTAAATGATTTCGAGTTTCGACTGGAAAAAAGAATCAGATTTCATTCATAAACAATAGGATTCAACACCGTTATTGGCATCTTCAAATGGAACAAAGGCCATTGAGTTTAATTTTCATAAACTGCTTATCTTAATACTCCGACTACTTTTTATTGTTCTCAATGTAATAAGATTTCTATCTTTAGAGATGCAATATCATCACATTCAGTCTTATTTATTTGATTTTTTGTGGCAGCAAAAAAAAAGAAGTCTTATTTGTACCCAGAAGACAGTCAAGAAACAACAAAATTCGATAGAGACATTTAAAATCAATAAATAACACGCGTCGGCATTTGCCACCAAAGAGATAAGTTCCGTGGATAAATTAATTGAAATATTAATTGATTAAAAGAAATAGATGGAAATGGATATTCCTACCAAATTGATTCACACAACGAACGAAGAGGAAGAAATTTATGAGTGAAGATAGCAGAAATTCGGCTAATCGCTACTTTGTTGAATATTCAAATTGGATTCAATCAGTTAGCAAGGTTTGAAAGGAATTAGACTTTATTGGATTTGACAGTTTTTTCTTCGGGGTGTTGAGTCTGTTGACTGAGATTCTTCGACGAACTGATAAAGGGTTGGTTATTAAATGATTATATTATAGAATGTGGCAGAGCTTCCTTAACGTAGTTCAGGGATACAGAACTGATCAAATATGATAAGGATGTCCATTGGTTTATCATCTATGATGAAGGTTTGCTCTGAATACACAATGAGTACCCGAATGGCACAAGACACTAATCAATCAGAAATTCGGAACCAAACCGTTTTGACTCTGTTGCTGGATTTAAATCGAAGCCATCACCATGTCAGAGTCATTCCAGCTTAATGCTGGATTTCTATTCGATTAACCGACTTTTGCTTTTGGGGGTATAATTATGACTTTACATTGTAGTTTTCAATTTATATCCAAAAGTGTAACTTAGTGTATCGCGAATAGCTGATAATATAATAATAATGTGTGAAGGGCCTAGCCTTTCAGCTGGAGGCACTGCGATTCAAATTAGAACAGAATCTATTGTACCACACCCTTTAGACTGCTTTAGACCCATAGTTTATAGCAGAGGGCGAAGTCGACTCGAAATTTGTATGGAGTCGAGTGAACTCAAGTCGACTTTTCCATACAAAATCCGAGTCGACTTCGCCCTCTGGTTTATAGTGGGATCTGAATCACTTGCAAGCTCTTCACATTGCAAAGACACGAGTACGTCATAAGACCTCCGAATAGCTGAACTTTGATCTATCTTTTCTAAATTAAAACTAAAATTAAACTGAACATGAACATTATTAATTTTTAATATCTAAGGATTTATGCCATATCAATGTGAATTTACTTAAGAAAAATGTCTCGTAAGCCGCTCTGGATGAGTTCATACACAACATCAATGATTTCAACTTTTCTCAAATACTAAAAAGTATGGGTTTGAATCCAACAAGATAGATAATTTCTGAATCGCTTTGTCAGGTTCTTAAAGTGTCAAAAATTAAAACGAGATAGATATGAAGGTATGTGACTAAGGAATGAGTAAGTCCAAACCATCTGAAGTTCTAAAAAATGCGCTGTAAAATAATTTAAATCGCTGCTTCTTTTCTACCTGCTTTCATACCCAAAGAAACTTAAAGAACCAATTTTCCACAAGTCTAATGCTCACCGAACTTCTTCATTCAATTCCTTTAAAAAAATATCGAAGCTGCCGAAATGAAAGAAGCATTTTGTATCAAAAAATCATTTATCAATTGATCGGCGCTGGAGATATTTGAGCACAATATTCATGTATTAATGAACAACACTTTCCTACCTCACTTTATAGTCTCTCATCTTTAATAGAGAAGCCGATTCTTTTTGGATAATTTTTTGATAAAAAATGTTGACACAAAATACTTTTTTTTTGTTCCCCTCCTTCCTTTTCGTCTCGTCTATAAAGATTATGAACATTTTATCAGACACGCTGACGAAGAATATAAAAAAAAATTAAGTGATTCAAAACGAATCGAATCGGCTCTTTATTAACACGAATTTCAAATTATCCACACCGATAACGCAAAATTATTCAAAATAACAAAGAAATAAAGAATGCGAGAGTTGAAATGGATATAAAATATAATTCTGTCCTGAGATCTTTTATTTTTCGAAGGCGTGTGACAGTGATAATATTACCTTCTTCTACCCTTTA